GCTCCCCCCTGCCTCTGAGCCGCGGAATTCCCTCTTGGCTGCGGGTGACGCCGATCCTGGCTGCCCGCGAGCGCCGCTCCCCTCCTCCCTGTCCCACCCCACAGGCCGAATTAAATTTGGGAAGCAAGACGGGGCTCCCAGCGGGACTCTCTGAGCCTCCCCTTCACACGTCCCTTCAGCAGCGCTGCCGTCCCCTAACTTAGCCCCTCGCCCACGCCTGCGGCGAATTCCCCTGCCGTTCCCCCACGCCGGTGGGCGGGAGATCCCTCCTTTGCACCCCAAAATCGGCCCGTTTGCTGCCGCCCTCAGCCCACCCTGCTGCTCAAGCTTGATAGTGGTTTCAGTTGGTTTTTTTTTCTTGTGTGTTTGTTTTTTTATATCCTTTTTGGTGCGGGTTTCCCCCCACCTCCCCCCCGCTTCGGTGTTGGTTTCAAAGCCCCAGGAGCCCTGAGGCGTTGCCTGAAACGATGCCCGGCGTGACATCATTCAGGGCCTTTTTAGCAACAGGCTTATTTGTTTCAAACAGCAACGTGCAGATGTTGTTCTAAGGAGAAGAGACGTTTGTTTTTCCTCCTGCCAGCCAGCCCTCATCCAAAGGGGAAAAAGCTGATACGCCGTCTTTTTCCGGAGCTGGGCGCAGGCCGCCTGGGGAATCAAACCCGACCCACGAGCATCGCCGTGCTGGGTGCGAACGGCAGCTTCGTGTTTCGAGAGCCCTGAGACAAAAGTCCTCGGAGCATCTTTTGGCACCAGCATCTGTTTTCCGAACAGCCAGATGGGTTTCTCGTGGCCCTGGGTCTCAAATATCTAAACCCTTCGCTTTGCAGTGCAGCTGAGCTGAAGGAGACGGAGATTCTTGGGGGGGTTTTTAGGGTTTTTTTAAAGGGTCATGATCCACAACCCTACATCTTGTTAAACGTCGAATGCGGTGAGCGCTTCAGGTCTGGCTGGGAGCTGCTGAACGGCCGCATTTCCCTGCGCTGGCGTTGTCCAGTGACCAATTAGGTCTTGAAAATAATTGTTTATAGAACTGGTGTGACTGGAAAGCGGCCGGCTCTTTGCACAGTGGAAATATAGGAAGCTTTTTCACTCGGGGAGGGTGAAAAAAAAAAATCTACAGTTGCAGTTTTGGCCGCTGTGATTCACTGTAAATCCTCGTCTGAGCGTGGAGATAAACCATTCGCTTGCTCTGCAGAAAAGGCGCCTGGGGGTGGCTGGCAGACCCCGCGGCCTCCTGGGCTTGGGCCTCAGTTTCCCTCCCCCCCCCCCCCCAGCCGGGGGGGGGGGGGGCGCCCTTTTTTCCAGGCTCCGTCTGGTTTCGAGCCGTTCTGGGAGATGCTGGGAATGCGCAAGGGCTGTGTTTGCGGTCAAAAAAAGAGTCCATCGGTGGCTCTGCCCTTAGAGCTGAGGAGATCTTTGTGATCCTGCTCTTCTGTCGATTTGGGGTGAAGCTCTCCTCTTCTGGACGAATCCCAGTTTGTCCAGAAATGGTGCTTTGTGGGTGAGCATGCCTCATACTGGGAGACTTATCCCGGATTCGACCCAGCTTTTGGGTGTGGGTTAAACGCTTTGGCAGGTCGCCCTGGAAAGCTGCGTTGGGACTGAAGTGCTCCTACCTCTGCTCTTCCTCTGGTCGCCTTCATCACCGTCCTCCTTCTTCCTCTCTGCAGCTGGATGACCTCTACCTCGTCGCCCTCGTTCACCCCCGGGGGGTCAAGTCGCTTCGGGACCTCACCGCCGAGCACCTCCCGCTGCTGAGGAACGTCTTGCGGGAAGGCCAGGTGAGCCTGAGGCGGGTCTGGCGCCGAGAGCACGGCCGGCCTGCCTGCTGCGGGGTTGCTGCCCGCCCCACGGCGTCTTTGGGCGGGGGGACACACCCCCACAGCTGGGAGACATCACCAACCGGGGTCCCGCTGCCCTCTCT